CCCAGTTCCTCAGCTCACTGCCTGTTCAGGTGGCCAATTACCTGAAACTCTGTCAGCTGCTGCATGAGTTCCTCCTGCTCCTTGCTGTTGGTAAGTGGTGGCAAGATATTCAGAAAGACTTTGAGCAGGTCCAGACTCTCTCCAGACACGCTGGACAGTGTGAAGATAGGAGTGACACTGTAAAGGAAGGCAGCGAATGGACAGATAAGGAAACTTCTAACAGGAAGCAGAGGCTAGAGCTCCATGCGTGCAAAAGTGAGCTTCTGGGGCAGGGGTACCTCTCTCCTATCTGCTCACCTTTTCAGGAGCTGAATCCTCTGTCTGTGAGCCAGCCAAGGAGTGTGGCTCATGAGGCTTATCTCAGGGACCAAGGGAGACAGCGAATGTCTGGCATAGCATTTTGTCTCCTGGGTTCCAGGCACTAGCAAAGCTCCAGGCTGGCTACCACAGACTCCCTCCCACAATGCCAACCAGAAAAACCACAGAACTGAGCCAGAACTGGTCTGGACCTGGGGTGGCACACCACACCCTGGGGCCCCATGGCAGCCTTCCCTGTGGATCAGGGCTCTGGGGTGAGAAAGGCTTACTTGGGTGACTGGGCAAACTGTTGGGCAGCCGTGACAGCATCATCCTCGGAGGTGACCAGCATGGGGACCTTGTGACAGCCAGGCTGCTTGAGGACCCGCTCTAGCTGTCGTACCGTCCTCTCCACTGTGGTCTTGGCACACAGGTCCACCTTGCTGACCACGATGAAGAAGGGCACTTTCAGGGCCAGGGCTAGCCCCAGATGTTCCCTTGTGGTGCCAGCTGCCTCAGAGAAGGAAGGCGGGCAGTAGGAGAAAAGGGTGAGAACATGGGAGGGAGCAGAGGGAACAGGAGAGTTTGTCTGGCTCCCAGATTTGAGGAGGCCCAGGGTAGGAGAGTCAGCACCCCCCTCCAGCCCCGTCCCTGCCCCGATGCCTCGTACCAATCCCAGTGTTAGCACTGACGAGGAGCAGGGCGCAGTCAGGGCAGTATGAGGTGAGGCCAAAGATGGTGGTGTGTAGGTACTTGTGGTGGCCTGCCAGGTCGATGAAGGTGATCATCTTGGAGCTGCTTTCACAGATCTCTTCTGCCGTCCGTGAGTCACTGTAATTCACCACCTGGCCCAGAGCCCAGGGCTCTCAGTGCCCCCTGCCAGCCTCCCCAACCCTTTAAGAGTTGCCAGGACCTAAACCGGTCGCTGGGTGACCCTGCCTCTTAACCCTGAGCCCCATATCTGATTTGATTCAGCTGATTCCCCATTTGTTTTCTAAGGAGACAGAGCTTGTTCAGTGCCCTCAGGGTCGTCTTCTACACTACTCCGACAAGTCTCCACACTCTGCCCTCGGACTCTGTCCTTCACCACTACCATCCCATCCTCAGAGTCTGGCCCCACTGGGTCCCGCTGATTTCATGCACCTCTCCCTTGCTGTTAAAGCCCAGGATCTCGAAGCTGATGCTGGAGGTTCGGCCAGACTGAATCTCATGCAGGTGGCGGAAAAGGTTGAGTCGAGCCCGGCCCCGCCCATTGTCCAGCTCTCCCTGGGTCAGGACTCCAAGCAGAGTCGACTTCCCTGAGTCCACATTGCCCAGGACGGCCACACGGAGGTCTAGGAACTGTGGATGAATTGCCAGAGGTAAGGGCTCCAATCCCTTACATCGCTCCATGGATGGTTGAGTTAAGGGCAGTGACACTCCCTGGGGACCAAATAACGACCTGGACACCCCCAGGTTCCCGGGCCAGTGAACAACCTGCCACCAGAGGCCCTCCTGGGAGCGTGGGCGTGAGAGATAGGGAAGGGTGTGTGCTCACCTGTTGGTTGTCAGGGACCTTTCGTACCAGCACCTCGGTAATCTTCCGGGGCATGTCGCTGTCATAATCCACTTCTCGCTCCCGGAGAACAGTGATGTCTGCCCCGACCCTGTCATCACAAAGCCATACTGCCACACCTCAACTTTATTCTCCTGCCCCCCACCTTCCGCCCTCTGGACCAAATGGCCTTCCCACACTTCCCAAACACCCTACTTCACTTCTTATCACCCTTCAATCTATCCTACATCCTTTGAAACAAACAAATCTTAAATCAAGGAGCAAAAAAGCCTAGGTCCAACATGGAGGAGCCCAGAACACTAGCCTTCCCTACTTTAGCCTTTTGTCAAGAGTAGGCAGCAGAGGGAAAGTCCCTCCTTGGCCCCTCGGGCCCAAGATAACTGGGTATTCACAGGTCTTCTCCAGAGGCGGGTGAGGAGAACCGAGGGAGAATGGGAAGCATACTTCTCTGCCATCCGGTGTAGGGTCTTGAGGGATGCCCGCATCTCCTCCTCGGCCAGCCCCACCAGCAGCCCATTGTCCTCTACCCCAATCTGGTAGACAGCCTCACCGCGGCCCTCCTGGAGCCGCCACTTCATCTGTGTCACCAGGTGCTCAAAGCGGTACTGGGATGGATTCACCAGCTTCAGCTTAGGACAGGCGAGGTATCGCAAGAAAATAAGGTCAGAGATACTCCTCCTAAACCCACGTGCTTCCCACCTGTCCTGCTCCAAGGACCAAGACCTTCCCTTCCTCCTTAACTGCCCCCCGCCCCCCATCCCTGGCCTCTTCTAACAGTCAGTCCCCCTCCATCAGAATGAGGTGCAGGGCCCTTACCCTGAATCATATTCCTAAACTGCTATAGATAATGAAATTGAAAGGATCTCAGAAAAATCACGCCCCCCCCCCGCCCCCGCCAAACACCCGAGCGTTAAGACTCACTTTATATTCGATGTTTCCATCTTCAGCCTGAAAAGAAACAGAGAACAGTTACCACACGTTGTCTTGACCCAACTTCTGCTTCCCTTTGATTCTTGCTGGGGCCCAGGCAGCTAACTTGAGAGAGCAGGAAGCTCAGTGGCACCTGCTTAGACAGGTGCCTGCCAAAGGTCATTGGCAGACAAACCCTCTACTCAGCCCCAGTGGACCTCTCTGAAGGAAAGGCCTCTAGGAATACTGTGAGTCACCCATCTAAGCCAGAAACTGAACCCTTAGCCCCTCCTTTCTTTGATCAATGGTGGTACATTCTTCCTAGACACAAGTTCACCCCCTCCTTTCCCCTGGGGCCTCAAAGTTTTGTCCCCAGGGGTCTAGATCTCCTCCGTGTTCAGGCTGCTGAGGCCCTTCTTTGCTACTGGTCTGGAAGACACCATTTCCTTCCTGCCCACCCCTCCCCGCTGATGTCCTCAAGAGTAAGAGGCTGCAAGAGGTTCTGGGTCAGGGCCAAAGGGTGAGCTCAGTACTGGTCACTATAAGCCTGATGAGAGAGGAGCCCAGGTAAAATGAGGGGCAGGGCTCCAAAGCTGGGGCTGAGATGAAGAGAAGAAACTCAGAAAATGCAATAAAGGGGACAGACTCCACCAACCAGACTCACATGCCTCAGATGATGAAATCCCGAATCCATCCACATAATTTCCTCTACCTCTTCCCTCTATCAGGGGACCCACCAGAGAAGCAACCTGTTGCCTGACCCTTCCCCTCTAGGGAGCAACGGGGTAAGAGATTTGCTTGTTCTGCCTGTCCTGCATTTTGGCACTGCTCCTCCCTGGCCATTTCTTTTTCTTTTTTCCTTCCTGTCATCATTCCATCTCTCCAACGCCTTCTGACTTCCAGGCTTTCACAGGTCTTCACCCATAATCTCTACTTCATGGAATATAAGGGAGATCTTTTCCCATTAGCAAAGACCTTCCTTTTTATCATCTTGCTAAAAATGAAAAATTAGGATGGGTGGCTGCAGAATAGTGGTAGAAGGATGACGGTCTAGGCCAATAGTTCTCAAAGTGTGGTCCCAGGACCAGGTAGCATTAGCACTGCCTGGGAACTTGTAAGAAATGCAGAGTATCAGGCCCACCTCTGACCTACTGAATCAGAAACTCCAGGGGTGAGGTAGCAATCCAGGGGATTCTGATACATGCTAAAATTTGATAACCACTGGCTCAGCTCTTCCCCTCAGTCCTCCTTTCCTAAGAGGGACGAAATAGCAGTTACTCTCTGCTTTAGGGATAGATGGAGCAAGAATGTGGAAGCTGTCCCTATTTCCTCATAGGACAAAGGGCGGGAAGACCTAAGCCTGACTGTTGTCTGTTTTTATACTGTGTACTCAACGATACAGACGGAACATATTGCTCTTTTCCCCAGTACTCCCCTGTGGAACAAGTTTAGAAAACTCTCTCCTCATCCCAGGATTGAATCTCCCTCCCTTCACAAGGATGAAGCGCGGGTATTCTACTCCGCTCTTTCCAAGGGGATAAAAGTGGGATCATCTTTCCCCACTACTCTTCCTGAGGTTACTGGACCAGAATGGGAGGGATCCTCCCTCCCCACTCTTCCTCGCTGGGGTCTGTCTGACCAGAGGGAAGGTACTCCCTGGGGTCTTAGGACCGGAAGGAAGGGTTCTCCTCTCCCCTCAGTGTTCTGACACCGGAAGGGGGTATCAATTCCCTCTGTCCCGCCTCCCTGGAGTACCGGGACCGGAAAGAGTGGCTTCCTCTCACCCGCCACTTCTTATGGAGCTCACCTCGGGGGGCAGGTACGGAGGGTTGTTGGCTTTGCCTCCTCTGTTCCTTCCGTTCTTCTTTTTCCCCTTCGGGCCCCCGCAGCCGCTGCTGCCGCCGGCCCCCCTTGCCTTAAGGGTTCCGCCCACGGCCGGGCCTCCTCCGGGCCGGCAGCAGCCGCCGAACAGCTCCGATACCCGCGAGTCCATCCGCCGCTGCCGCCAGCCCCCCGCCCGGCCCCTCCCCCCCCCGCCACCACCACCGCCGCCGCCGCCGCCGCCGCCGCCCCTACTGCCACCGCCGCGTCCGGCCAGCCAGAGGAGAGCGGGGTGGGGCCCTGCGCAGGCCACGCCCCCACCCTTCTCTGGCACCGGGTCGCGTCAGACACAGCCGCGGGGCACCACGGGAGATAGAGTCCTCAAGTCTGGGATCTCCATTAAATGAGCTGCCTGCTGCCCTACAGCTCCCAGGAGGCATTGCGGCTCAAGGGGCCGTGGGGCGGCTTTGGGGCGTAGGCAAGGAGCGAGCCTTTGCGCGCAAAGGCCTAGGGGAGCTGTAGTCTGGTTCTCAATCTCGGTGCTGTGAGTGGGTCTTTTCTTAGGGCCTCTTTAAGGGGAAGTTTAGGAGCCCGGCGGACTGGAGGTGGGACAGTCACCCGAAACCGAGGGCTTACATCAGAATCGAGCTTTGTGGGCGCTCCAGGGTTTGGGCCCTTAGCGAGATCCCAGACAACAGGTTTTGGACCTGAAGAGCTGCAAAATTCACGGAGACTGATCCCTCCAGCCGGCTGGCTCCACCCCGCCTCAATTTCTTCCCCGACTGCTGGCGTGCCGTCGGGGTGAGTCAGGGCGAATGCCAGGGCGGAGGCAGATGGTGGTTAGCCTAATTATGGCTGTTATTGTTGCGATGATTATGCCACCTTTACACAGTAGTCACTGCTTTATTACCAGGCTGGCACCCTCCGGGGGCTGGTTTTAGCAACCCGAGACACCGCGGTGCCATCGACACGAGGCCCAAACCCGTAAACCACCAGCCTTGCAGCCTGAGGGCTACACGGATGCCCACAGCGAGAATTACCCCTCCCCTTTGTTTTGAAGTAGAACCAATCCCGGCACAGCGAGTTTAGTTTTAAAATAACCAGGGCTGTGGGAGGGGCCTGGCCCCCACTTGGGGCGGGGCTGGGGCTCCGGTTACGTCAGCCACTGCTAAGGTTGTGGCTGGGGGGAAGTAGCAGGTAATAGAAACTTGGCCAAGGGCCCAGGGGATTATTGACTTTTGACTTTCCTGCCAAGCTATCTCTCTTGCTTTTTAGGGCTCTTGCAGTCGGCAAAGAGGAAACACAGCGACAGAAACCAGTGTACAAGACACGAGAAAGGCAAAGTGGAGAAGCATGTTGCTGCGCTGGGAGTCAGGACGCCAAGGTTCAATTCCTAGCCCCATGGCTGTCTCATGATTCACCATTCACCCTGTGCCCACTTCCCCTCTTTCACAAACATCGAGATGCTCTCACACAGCCAAGAAGTAAAAAGGCCCTTCCCTCCAGATCTCAGTTTTCCCTGGAAAACTAGAAGCAGCAGCAGCAGCAGTGGCTCACCTCTGGTGATCCTTTCAGGAGTTCAGACCTGGTGGAGTCCTTGGCTTCCCCTCGACCACAAGGAGGGAGGCAGGGTGGTTGCTGTCCATGTGGCATAACTCCCCAAAGCAGTGGGAGTAGAAGGACCAAAATCTGTAAAAGGGCCTAGCAGATCCAGCCAATTTTGTGGTCTTCAGTGGTTGAAAGCACACATGACTTCTCTCTTCTCGACTCTGTTCCACTGAAGGAAGGTTATACTGCAGAGGTCAACTCCAGCCAGTGGCACAACCCCTCCAGGGAAACTGCTAATAGAGGCTGAGACTGAGGAACTCAGGAAGAGATCTCAAGAAGGATGGGGGTTGGGAGAGCCAAGTCCATTCCCCCAACATTCTCACCACCACCAGCTCTGGGCTCTCTTGATAACCAGGGCCTGCTGCACTCACCTGATAACACTTGTCCTCTCATCTTCCTGGGTCTTTCAGCCACCCAACACACACTTCCTCCATCCCAATTTTTTAATTAAGCTATTTATTTATTTATTTATTTATTTATTTATTTATTTATTTAGAGAGCACACGAGCAGGGGAGGGGCAGAGAGAGGGAGAGACAGAGAGAATCCCAAGCAGGCTCTGCACCACCAGCACAGAGCCGATGTGAGGCTCAAACTCAGAAACTGTGAGATCATGACTTGGGCCTAAGTCAAGAGTCAGATGCTTAACTGACTGAGCCCCCCAGGAGCCCCGAGGTTTATTTTTATGTTTAGATCTTTAATCCATGTGGAATTTATCCTTATGTATGAACTAATTTGATTTTTTTCCCTTCTAAACGGATAGGGAGCTGTCTCAAGTTACTTGTTTTAAAAAGTCACCCTCATCATACACTAAGATCTACATACACATGGATCTGATTCTGGACTCTCTCCTGTTTTATTATTTGTTTGTTTATTCCTGATCCAACACCACAGTATTTTAATCATTGTACTTTTATAGTATGTTTTGATTTCTGCTCCTTACTTCCTGAGACACACCCTTCCTGGCCTTCATGACACACTTGTTTATTCTTCATTATACCTCTCTGGCTACTCCTTACTCCCCTCCACAGTCTCTTCTCTCTCTGCTCATCCCCTAAATATTAGTGTCTTCAGGATCCTAGCTCATCCTTATTCTACTTGCCTTCCCTGGGTGATCTTATACACACCTATACTGATGACTCTCAAACACATCTCTATTATCAATAGTGTTCCTAAATATCTCTTTACTGTCCAATGGAACAGGAAACTCACTATATAAAAAATGGAACTCATCTTTTCTCCATACCTACACACCAGTAAACCTGGTCTTCCTTTAGTGTTCTCCCTTCATTGAATGGCACAACTGGCCATATAGTTGTTCATCTTAAAAAACCTGCTTGTCTTAGTAGTCTCTATCCCTTCTCCTCTTCCTGGGGACAACCACCAAGTCATGGTCATTGGACATCCTAAATATCTCTAGGGTTCACCCAATTCTCTCCACCCTACCGTGACTGCCATAGTTCAGGCCTCTTTTATCAATGCACTTGGGTAACCGCAGTCACTAGCTTTAATTGGTATTCCTGCTTCCTCTCTCATCCTCCCTGTAATATAATCTATCCACTGCAGCCAGTGTAGAGATTACATTTATAAATTTAATCATGTCACTCCCCTACTTAAAGCTTTCAAAGCTTCCTCATCCCCCTACAGGATCAAGTTTAAACTTTTTAACATGGCTTATAAAGCTTTGCCATAATCTGGATCCTGTTTGTCTACCACAGCCTTAACTCTTTATAATGTGAACCCTTTTCATTCCTTGGATGAAGGATGCTCTTGTCTCTCAAGGTCTCCAGGATAGGTAGGTCCTCCTCTTTACCTTTACTCATTCTATAGGTCACAGTTTCTTGGGCACATTTCCTCTGGGACCACCCCTCTCTTCCACATCAGCTAGGTTAGGCACTCGGTTCTTCGCATCCACAGCCCGTGCACACCTCACTGTATATAATTCATCACGTGGGATCGTATTTATAGGTGGCAAACCCCTTGAGGACAGCGACTGCCTCCTGTTTGTTTGCCACAGTCTCCAGCACCTAGGACAGGGCCTGGCACGAAGTAGGTGCCCAAGCGAATAGTGAACGCAGGAGAGAATGCGTGAGGGCGAGGGTCCTCTGGAAGGCAGAACTTAGTGTCTGAGACAGCGTGGGTTCTCTGTACAGTTAGGGCTCGGCGTACCTGTGAGGGAGTGTTGCTAGGGAGCATAGGGATCAAAACCTAGCTCGGCCCAGCTTCCATTACTGCAGCGGTGCAGTGCCCCCGCCCCTCCACCGCCGAAGCGGAAGTGGAGGCGTGGGCTTCCCATGATACCTCGCGGGGCGCCTGTTCAAACCGCACGGAGAAGAGGGAGGAGGTAGTGATGGCGGCTCCGGAGCCGGAAGTGCTGTGTCCGGCCACAGTACCTGGTAAGGACTGGGGTCCGGAGCTCGGGGAGCCTTGGGGACCTGTTTCTTCTCTACACCGCTCTCCAGCCTTTTAGCCCATGACCCTTTCTCTGGCCCTTCTTCCTTGTCCCCATTTCCTGGCTCCCGCCCGGCCCCACGGACTCCATCGCCCCCTCGGTCCTGGATCCCACTGGTTCGTCCCCACTGTTGTCTTCCTCTGGGCGGCACTCTGGACCCCGCTTGATTACAGTTACAGTAAACTAATTTCCCCAGATCAGGGATTCCACTTTCTGAGCGGAGGCCTGGTCACGGTGTCTGAAATTCTCCTTTCCCCCAGCTTCCATCCGGCGTCACTTAAATCCCCGTAAGCGTCTGGGGTCGGGAGTCTCCTAGCCGCCACCCACACAGGAGTTTGCGGAGGGAATGTGTCGGGCTGTTCCCTCCGCAGTACAAGGGAATGAGAAGACTGACTTTGGCTTTTAAGTTTTTCAAGTGTCTGCCTTGTTCCTCTGCGCACCTACTAGAATTGGAATGGTATGAGAAGTCAGAGGAAACCCACGCCCCCCAGATAGAACTACTTGAGACTACCTCCGCTCAAGAACCTTCCAACCTTTCGGAGCCCTTTCGCCCCAGAGACTGCATGGTGCCAGTGGTGTTTCCCGGGCCTGTGAGCCAGGAAGGCTGCTGTCGGTTTACTTGTGAACTTCTAAAGCATATCATGTACCAACGCCAACAACTGCCTCTGCCCTATGAACAGCTTAAGCACTTCTACCGAAAACCTTCTCCCCAGGTAGGCACAGGCTTTGGGAGAAAGCTGGTGGGGAGACTGTGATGATTAGACCGTAAACAGCTGTAAAGGGGTTCCGACGAGTCTTCAGCGCCTGTCAGCCTAAGCAGCTGTAAGGAATGTGTTTCAGCCCCAGGACTTTAGTTAGTTTCTCCTCAGCCCAGTCTTTGATATTGATAGCCTAACCCCTTTCTCATTTTCTCATTTTCTTTTTTGGAAAACTGCTATTGTGTTGCATTTTGGCTTCATGAACTGACCCTGTAGTTTTAGTGTTTTTTCTCCCCCAGTTTTTTTTTTTTTTTATATTTTTTTGAGTTTATTTATTTATTTTGAGAGAGAGAGCATGCAAGCAGGGGAGAGGCAGAGAGAGAGAAAGAGGGAAGCAGGCTTGGCAGGGTCAGCACAGAGCCTGACTTGGGGCTGGAACTCCCAAACTGTGAGATCATGACCTGAGCCGAAATCAAGTCAGACACTTAACTGACTGAGCCACCCAGGCACCCCATCTCCCCAAATTTTCATCTCTTTGTTTTTATGTTTTACTTTATGGGGGACTTCCTTGACTTGATATTCTAACTCTTCTATAATTTTTTTCTTTTTTGGCAATCATAGTCTTAAGAGCTCTTTTTCATGTTTCTTCTTCTTTTTTTTTTTAAGCTTATTTATTTATTTTGAGAGAGAGAGAGAGAGCGTGCGTGCACAAGCGGGGTAGGGGCAGAGATAGAGGGGGAGAGAATCCCAAGCAGGCTCCATGCTGCCAGCACAGAGACTGACACGGGGCTCAAACCCACAAACTGTGAGATCATCACCTGAGTGGAAATCAAGAGTTGGATGCTTAACCAACTGAGCCACCC